CTGGTCTGATCTTCTCGACACCTGATGCGTCCAGGGAGGATGGGTCTCCTTGGCTCTCCCAGCTGCCCAGCTGCTTCCCTCAGGCTCCAGGCCCGGGTGAGAGACGCTGGCCAGTGGGCAACACGGTCCATCTTGCCTGGATAAGCCCAGGAAGGGGTAGGACAAGTACCTCCCGGGAGCCACTGAGGGTCTCTGCAGCCGGGCCAGGAGCCAACAGGAAATGCTGAGGCTGCAGTGGGGCCGGTGGGGATGGCAGTGAAGCTGGGCAGGAAAAGCAAACAAATCCAGAGGGCATGGCGCGCTCAGAGGTGAGAGACACGGCCCGAGTCCGGGAAACACAGGGAGCGGGCGACCTACGCGCTCTCATTTCCCAGCAAGTACTTACTGGGTGCTCAGGGTGGCTGTGAGTTCACAGGTTTCAAAGTCCACCGGAAAGGCCAACCCTGTGAGCTCCAGCGGATGGATGGCTGTGGAGTCAGACGGGCCAAGCTGCAGCCCTGCCATTCACCAGCTCTGCAAGATCTCGGGTAAACTACTTCAACTCTAAGCCTCAGTTCCTCATCTGCAAAATGGGCATAATCAGTAGCCCCGCCTCCTAGGGCTGCATTGCCTAGGAGATGAGATCTCGTGCAGGAAGCACTCAACTCGGACTGTGACTCAGGAAACAGCAGCCGACATGAGTGGCGTCGGCGGGATCAGCCCCTCGGCCGCTTGAGGCCTCCCTTCCCGCGGGCCTCTGTCCTGGCCTCAGTCAGCTGCCAGAGTCAGAACCCCGGGTCAGGGATTCTGTTTCCACACGGTTTGTTTTCTCTTCATTTTCACGGAGACACTGAGAGTCGCCTTTCAGACCCGGCTCCTCCTTCTGTCCATTGGAATCCATCGTTCATTCAACGGGGATGCCTTCGGCACTCGCCCTGTGCCTGGCACCGTGCTAAGCCGGGAGGATATGGCAGCAAACAAAATACCCGCCTCCCCCGCCAAGAAAAATCCCTGGCCCCATGGAGCCGGCCTGCAGCTGGAGACACCCTTCCGCACCCCTCCACCATCACGAGACCTCTGTGTGGGGCAAGAGGAGAGGGGGCTGCTTTTGCCCTGCTCCCATCTCAAGGGAACGGGCGCCACCCAGAACCACACACAGGCAGGGCCGAGGCCACTCTGCTTGGCTCCCCAGGTGGGGTCTATGGAACATTCCAGCAACAGCTTGGACACTACTCTCCCAAGAGCTCAAGAGGCAAAGTTAGATCTCATAAGAGGCAAAGTTCTTACCCCAATAAACACACACCGAAGGGGATCATTCCTATGGAGCCAGCCACCCCTCCCAGCATGAACCGAAGTCTGAAGTCCTGAGCTTAGATCCTGAGTCCCCAGCGCGTCCCTGGAGGGTCGGGTGATGGTCAAACACCTGGCCTCCGGTCGGAGAGGCCCTGGTTCTAAGTCTCTGTTGAATGAACATGTACCATCTATATGTAACTCTGGCCACCTAACTTCCCCAAGCCTCAATTTCCCACCTGTGACATGGGTAATGAAGTGTCCACTTCCTAGAGACAAGAGATGAGACTGGGCATTTAGCTTGGTGCCTGGTACACAGTAAACACAATCACTGTTATTACTATTATCATTCGCTATTATTGCTGTTGTCGTTGTTGCTGTTATCTGATAACACGTCCCATTTCGAAAAGAGAAAGTGGCAGCAGCTAGCCGAGCAGGCTGAAGGTTCTTTTCCCGGCAGCAGGACGGACGAGAGCCCAGGCCCCCTCACTCCTTGGGATTGTGGAGCAGCAGCGGGGCCCGACCCTAAAATCACCCCGTGGGCCTCGGCGCCACACACACTCAGCAAAGCCAGCAACTCTGCCTACCCCATAACAGCCTGGCTGCCTCCTCTGGGCAATCCCACCTACCAGGTGAAGGGACCCGGAAGTCCACAGGCCTCACAGCCAGACAGGGACCCGGTGCCCCTGTCCAGGTCACCTGGACTGCCCGTCAGCCTCAGCTGTCCTCGTAACCAGTGACGCAGCCCCGAATAAATGTTAACTTGCCCAATGACACACAGGTATTAAGTGACAGGTGAGACGCGAAGCCAGCTCTCTGCGGCTCAGAGCCCGAGCTCCCAGGCCCTCGAAGACCCGGACTCCAGCCCTCACTTTACCCACGGTGCTCCCACCCGCTTCCCTCCCCAGCTGTGGATGAGAGCTGGGGAGGGAGTGAGGTCACTTTGAGGCTGCCCGGATCTGGGCAGTGGTTCTAACTGTGCTGTCAGGAGCCTCGAGTCAGGCAGCCCTTGCTTTTCTCGAGGCCAGGTAGGCAGCGAGGCAAAGCCCAAGGCCATTTCCAAGCCTTCAGGCAGAGGGACCGTGAAAGAAATGCAGTGAGAAGAGATGAAATGCCCTCTGCATGGAGATTTGCTTATTCAAAGCAATGTCTGCTGAGTGACTACCTTTGGGAAAATTTTTTTAAAAAAAACAAAAGAAAGAAAGAAAATCAAGATATTTTTTTTTCCCTTTGTCTTGGATACCAAGGAGAAGGAAAGCGATCTGGATTGACTCTTCTCCCAGAGGACTCCAGAGTGGAAATTCACCATCCGGGGAAGGAGGTGGAACTTAAGTAAACGGAGACCTGGAAGGGAGGGAACAAAGCTGGGAGCAGCACAGAGACACTTGAGGGACAAGGAGTCAGGAGGCCTCCAGCATCTCACTGGGGGACTGTGGGCAAGCCCCACCCCTCAGTCTCTCCATCTGTAAAATTAAGGGGGCGAGAAAGGAAGTCTCTCGGGACTCCTGCTGGGAGTCACAGCCCACGAATGCCCCATCAAGGGCTCTCAAAAGTGATGTTTATTCACACCTGTTGGCAACCCAGGCCCAGCCCAGGAGTCAGAGGCACTGGGCACACAGTCTCCGCCCCTTCGGCCCCATCGCACTGGAAACATCCAAACTGGTCAGGAGGCAGGAGCAGAAGCAACCAGCCTCACTTATTCCTCGCGATGCTTAGTGGCGGAGAACACGTCCATCTTACAGATGCAGAAACTGAGGCTCAGAGAGCTTCACAGAGCCCAAAGCCACCCAGCTAGTGAAGGGCTGAGTGAGGATTTGAACCTCCAGGAGACGGTGTTCAAGGGAGCTGGGCCAACACCAGGACCAGGTATAGGATAGGTGGGCATGCTACGGAATGGCGGGTGGTGGGTTAAAGGCAGAGGCCGGGCCCCTCTCCCAGAAACGCGTGGCCCACACTGAATGATTCTGACGCAGTATAGCACCAGCTCTGGGGGCCACTGCAACGAGGCCTCCACGGGGCACCAGCGCCAGCCAGACACAGCGTCTGGCCGCAGTCACCAGGATCTCCAGGACACACAGAGAGAAGGCGACAGGGCCAGGCCAGACAGCTATGCTCCTGACTCTGAGGTCAGGGAACCAGGGTCTCCAGAAGGATGGCCCGAGAAAAGCAAGTACCAGACTCCCGGAAGGGGTGCACTGGCTGGCGGCCCACACCGTTTCCCAAGCCCCTGCCCCCGTCCCTGCTCAGTGGCTCCCTCGTGTGGAGCCCTCCTCTCTCTCCCCCGGTGAATTTATGCTCCCTTGCTCAGCCTAGCCCCACTCCGGTCAGTGTCCCTGTTCCCTGGCACCCTCTGCCCCCCCTGGATGAGTCTGCTTCCCTGTTCAGACTGAGTTTCTGGGTGGCTTTATTCCTGGCCCAGCCTGGAGGGATGTAACCCCTGGGAGATCACAGCAATGTCAGGACTTCCCAGCCCAGGTGCAGAATCGCTGATTCATTTCAGGTCCCTAACCAGGGAGGAGAGACCCTGGCCCCTCTTCTGGTGGTAATTACACAGTGGCAAGCCCAGCAGAAACCCTCCCAGGATCCATCCATTCCAACAAGCAAATGAGCACAAACAAGGACTCCTAGGCTTGAATTTGAATCCAGAACTGCCCTGGCTCCCGGACCCAGGGCCACAACCTGCATCTCTGAGACCTCCAGCTGGGTGACACCCACCTGAGAATTAGCTGCCCGATTCAGCTCACTCTAGAAAAACAAAGGGAGGCTCAGACACCCCTCCCCAGACTAGGGCAGCCAGGATTTAAACTCAGGACCCCAGGGGCCCCGGCCATCAACTCCAGGGCCTAGATCCACCACTGAGGCTTCCCCTAGGACTCTCTAAACACCCAGTTCCTGAAAGCCGAACAGTGAGCACCAGTGAGCAAAGCTCCAAGAGGCCTCAGCTTTCACAGCCCCCAACTCCCGAATGCGCCGTCCAACTTGCTGAAGACCACAGAGGGAGTGGTGGTAAAACTGCCTTGATTAGGTGCCTGCGGTGTCTCTAGGTGTCTTACCCAGCAGTTCTTCATTCTTCTATGGAGGAAGCAGTGGCCCATTTTACAGATGAGAAAACCAAGGCCTGGGGGACTGGGACTTACACAAGGACCCAATACCAGTGCTGGACCCAGAGTACGATGCCGGCAATCACCCCAACACCCAGGGGTGTTAGCCTTTAGGCTGCCCTGACTCAGACAGACTCCCAGGTGGAGAAGGGCAGAGTCCCCAGCAACAGTCACAGGAAAGGGAGCAGGAACGATACTGGCAAAACAAATGGCGATGGCAAAGACAATTACAGAGGGTGGCACCGCGCGGAGCACCAGAGAGCTGTTTAATTCCCAGCCACAGCCCAAAGGAGTGGGTGGCTACTTCATTGTTTTCATTTTGCATGTGAACAGACTGACTTTGGAGAGTTTATGTGACTCCTTCTAGCCACACAGCTGGCAAGGGACAAAGCCAGGATGTGGAGCCAGGCCTGCTTTCTACTTCACATGCTTGTGGGAAAAATAAAGGAAAAAGTAACACGTTTTAGGGACTGACCTCTTCCCTCCAGCCCAGGGATCCTGAAATGCGTTTCTCCTTAGCCAAAGACCTGCCCTGAGCCCTCACAGCCGCAGCTCCACCCCTTCCCACACCTCCTGCCCGGTCTCTCCTCGTTTTCCAGCTGCCAGAGCAAAAGAACGAGGCTCACTTACTGTGTCTGGGGTGGTGCAGCCGCTGGGTCTGGGTCTGCGGGAGGAGAGCAGAGGCAGAGCCCGTCAGGCCAGCGGCTGGCCCGAGGGACTCAGCGCATCCCCGCCCCCTTTCCCAGCTTCCCCGGGGGCCCCAGAGACGGGGCCGCCAGCCCGGTGCCTGCTGCGTCCCTGCCTGCCCTCCCCCAGCCCCACACTACCATTACGCTCCCCTACCAGTCCTACCTGCCTGTCCCCACCCCCAGCCCCATGGCCCACATCCCAGCTCCGACCAGAACCAGTAACGCTGCCTGCTCTGGGCCTGCCCTCACCCGCAGCCCCTCGAGGAGCCCCTTGTCCCCAAGCCTGCAGGAAGTTCCTGCCGGTCCAGTCCCCAGTCCCTCCCGATGAAGCTGCCATTTATCGCCGGCCTTATCAGGGCCTTCCTGCCCCCAGGGCTCCCGGAGGCTGCTGCTCTGGCGGCTGTGATTCCCTGGGAGAAGCTGTGGGGAGAGGGGAGCTTCAGGGAGACAAGTTCTGGGAAGTAACTGTCACTGAAGCACAACCGACAGCCAACCACTGCCATTGACGGCCAACCACTGCCACTTAGGACGTGCCAAAGTGCACCAGATGCTGCAGGAATGCTAGGAATCTCCAATTCCCAACGGGAGCGATGGAATGCAGCTTCTTCCCAGTGGTCTGTCTTCCCTTCCTGCTTTCTGGGGACGGTGGAGGAGCCACAAGGCATCCTCCATGCAGCCCTGAGCTCCCTGTAGCCCCGGAGGCCCGGAAATGGGAAGACCCTGGGCTTGCAGAGCACCTTACCAGCGACGGGGGCGGAGTCCAAGGGGATCAGTGGGGCATCTTCCGCCTCCTTCTCTGGAGCAGCGCCTGGGACGCCCAGGCCAGCACTGGTGTCCTCGTCATCATCGTCACTGTCATCAAACTCAAAGGCCTCGCCAGGGTCGTCCTCTGCCTCGGGGGAGGGGCCTGGGCCTCCAGGAAGCAGCGGATCTCCTGGAAGGGAGGAGGAGTTAGCCTGCTGTGGGGTCTCAGGGTTTGGTCCAGAGAGAGGGCTGGAAGTGGGGAGCAGCTGGGGGTCCGAGAGAGAGCACGCGGGCAGTTCCCAGAGACTAGATTAAACCCATGCCCAGGTCAGGTGGCCCTCCTGTGCCCCGAGGTTCCCGTGGGTGGCTTGGGGCTCTAAGCAGATGGGCAGTAGAGGGAGGGCAGGGAGCAAGCTTCCAAGCGAGCGTGTGTGCATCTGGACTTGAATGGAAGTCTCTGGTTGTCTTGTTTTCTACTTTCCTATTTTGTAAGCAAGGGGGGTTTATAAATGCATCTGCCCACGTGCGTCTGGGCACACACCTTCGTGTGTATTTCCATGTGTGATACGTCTTTGCATATATGCGAATGAGCTCGGCACCCTGCGCTTTATTTGGTATGCACGGGGGAGGGGAGCCTGAAGGCAGCCAGCTTTTGGGTACCAGGGCACAGACTGGCTGGGGCAGGGCTCCCAGCATGAAGGTCAACCCGGCCTTACTCCCTGCTTCTCTCCCCTGGGAGGACCCCTGCCCGCATCCCTTCTCTGTCTTAGCCTCTTGTTTTCTTCATCTGTTCCTGTAAAATGTGTAATGATTTATTTTGCCCCTTTAAGGGGGGCAGGTCCTGGCCTGGGGTATGTCGCCAGCCACATCAGTAAACAAAGGATGTTGCAGCCATCGAAGCATCAGCCACTGCAGCGATCCCAGTGGTGCACCCTGAGGGGATTCAGGACCGAAAGAACAGGATGCTGGCCCCAGATAGCTAAAGCGCATATCAAAGGAATGATTTCAAAGAGCCCAGCCTCTTGCACTTCCCATATACAGAAGAGTGCTAAATTCATTAACTTGAGATGCCTGGTTTTCTTTAGTTAACAGTAATCTTCTGATGTTCTCACTACCTGATCTTTGTTGCAAAAACTCCTATATATCCTGGCTCTCCGCTCACCTCTTAGGAGCAGTCCCTCAGAGCTATCTGAGAGGCTGCCTCCCGGGCTTAAGTCCTCAGTAAGTCCGTCAAGTAAAACATAAACATAATTCTCTCCTCTTAGGTTGTGCATTTTTTTTCAGTCGACGGGCAGAACTCAGAAAACTTGAACACGAACTTCACTTGTTTCATTCAACAAGTGAAGAAATGGATCCTCTATCCTAAACAGCGTAACAAGCCCTCGCCTTTGGCCCTTTTCAGCAAGCTGAGATCCCCCAGTCTTCTTCCTTAGAAGACTTCTTTTCTAGAATCTGAGCCTAAACAGAACCTCAAGTATCCATTTAGCCCATCTCCCTACCTCGTGCAAACCCACTCCCAAACCAAGGGACAACGTGGGCTGGTTTGAAGCTGATCGCCCCTCCCTGGGCTGCCCGGAGCAGGCCTGTCACAGCTCACGTCACACATTTTAGAGCATGAGCTTGGGGCCCACCCAGTCCTGTCTGGGTCCCCTTCACCTCTCTGAACCTTGGTTTCTTCCCTGTAAACTGGAGAATGAGACAACAGCACCTACCTCATAAGGTTAATGTGAATGTGACGTGAGATGTGGGTCAGGGTTTCTCAGCCTCCTATCGGGGCTGCATGGTCTTTGTGCTGGGGGGCTCTATAGGATGTGTAGCAGCATTCCTGCCCTCTACCCTCCAGCTATGACAACCAAAAATGTCTGCAGACATTGCCAAATGTCCCCTGGGGGACAAAACTGCCCCCTGGTGGAGAACTGCTCTTGGCATAGTGCCTGGGATGTGAGTGTTACACAGGGACACCTGCTGTCATTTCTGTCCCCTCCCTGCCCGAGATCCTTGAGGACAGGACTGTCCACAGATGGATCGATAAGTAAATGGGTGGGGAGGTGGATGGAGCAGAGAGACAGCTAGACGGGCCAACGGATGGACAGATGGACATATCTGATTCTAGCAGTCTCATTGACCAGAAAAATCCAAACACCCCCCCGCCCCACCCACAGTGACCTGGGGTTTCCAGAGCAGAACATTTTAGGTGCAAGTGTATCAAATTCAAGAAGACCCTTCCTCAGCTGCTTGACTGCAGCAGAAACGCAGAGCTGACAGGCCCTCCCCAGTCACATTTGGTATCACTTTTGATATTGCTTTCCACACTTGCGTTTTGGACAGCATATGTACACACACATATAAAATGTGCGTGTACAGCATCTTCTACTGTTCTCCCCTTGCTCATTCCACTCCAGCCACACCGGTCTCCTTGCTGTACCGTGAAAGCGCCAGCTCTGCTCCTGCCTCAGGACATTTGCACTTTCAGTCCTGGGGTCCAGAATGTTCTTTCCCCCAGGCGTCTTCTCCTGCTCTCACCTCCTTCAGGTCTTTACCATACGTCAGCTTCCAACGAGGCTGCCAGGACCAAAGCTGCCCCCAGTGACACCCGGGGGCTCCCGATTGGCCATGCCTGCTTTCTTTTTCTCTGTGGCCCTTATCAGCATGTGACACACAGTGTGTTTTATTTATTTTACTGTCTGTCTCCTCTGCTAGAATGTAAGCTTCCTGAGGGCAGGTGTTCTTGTCTGTTTCACTGTCATATTCCCAGCATCTGGTAATGTGCCCGACATATGGTAGGCACATAATTATTTGCTGAATACACACACACACACACACACACACACCCCTACTGTCAGGTCTATGGGTTGCAGTTTTAAAAGTTTAAAAAATACTGGAATAAATGACCTCAAAGTCCCTGCCCACTATTTCTGGACCACCAGATTCAGACCTATCCTGACCAAAGGGGCTTCAGTGCCCATGGTCCTGCCCTCTTGAATCTGCTGGGCATACAGTGTGGGGAGGCTTCCCTTTGCACGTGGCCTGTATCATTGTAGTCACTACGGTTTCACAGTCAGACCACCTGGGTTCAGACTCCAGCTCTCCCTTATACTGGCTGTGCGAGTGTCAAGTTATTTCACCGCCCTTCCCCCTGCCCCACCAAGCTGCAGTTTCCTGATCTGTCAAATGAGGACAATAATATAACTGCCTTGCAGGGTTGTTGGGAGGATGGAATGAATTGACAGACATTAAAGCACCCAGTGCGAGGTATGGGCTCGCTAAATGTCAGCTGTTCTTACAATGACGATTCTACTTACCATCACTGTCATTGCAACATCATTATCATTATCGTTATTACTATTATTATTGCCTTGAGTCATAGCCCAGGCCCTGACCCTGGGTGAGATGGAGAGCCCCTCCCCATTCACAGGCCAGGCCCAGCCCCAGGTGACCCGGCCCCCAGGCTGTGTCCAGGGACTTAGGTTATTTCTGCACCTTCCCCCTTTAAGAGTACAAATGGCTTCAGTGAGCCCAGCAATCAACACAGTCATGCCCGCATGCAGTGAACTGTCCCCGAGAGCCCCTGGGCCGGGAGGTTCAAGCGGAAGACAGACGTGGCCCCTCAGTGTCAAGGAGCTCACTACAGGGTGAGGCAGGCGGATACAGCCAGAGAACAACGTAAAAGCCCAGGGACTGAGCCGGTGCTACAGAGAGGAGGGGGCTTCTGTGGGGCGCGGCTTTGGCACAAGGCTGCCCCTGTGCAGAGCCTTAAAGGGGGAGCAGTGGTCTGACAGGCTCAGGTTACGGGTCGGGGGCTATTCCAGGCTGAGGCCAGAGCAGAGAACAGCAAGTGGCGCAGCGGAGGTGAAGACGTGAGCAAGGATGATGGGGGTGAGAACACGGCTGCGAGGTGCTGGGGGGATTTGAATTTATTCGTGAAGACCATGGGAAGCTCTCAAAGAGTCAGAAAGTGGCAAAGATACTAGTTCAACCAGATGAAACCAGCCCGCAATGTCAGATACACACAGAACAGTAAACTTTCATCAAATGTTTGCTGAATGGAACTGAATTGATTTCATCATAAGATACTTTCGCTCTCAGTTTGCATGTCTGGCCCCTTGGTGTGTAGGAGAAAGGGTTCAGGGTGCCTGGGACAGCGGCGAGGGGTGCGGACATCCTGGAACCCAAGGCCACGGCCATGAATCAGAAAATGACCTTGTTCCCAAGATTCTGTTCCGGATCCTGAGACCCAGGCAATTAGGCACGGCTCCTTATCAGAAGGAAAAATCAGGAGGCCCATCCCTGGATAATTGAGAGCTGAACTGAGCCCTTCCCACCCATCCAGACAGTTGGCAGGGCTGGAGGTGACCACACACGCCTGTGATGTTCATGGACATGCCCCGTCCTCGGGAGAGCCCACCCCAGCGAGTCCCCAGCGAATCCAGAAGGCTGGGACCCAGGAAGCCACCCACGCTATGGAGAAGGTGTGACTACCGTGCTGGTCCCCCACCCTTCAGAAAAGAACACGGAGGCTCGGGGTGGGATGGGGTGGGGTGGGGGAGAGTCCTCCCTGGGCTCTGCCCGGGGGCTCAGAGCACAGCACAGGCGGCCCGTCCTGCCAACACCCCAGTGATAGCAGCTGCCGTGCACTGAGCCATTGATTACCACACGCCAGGGTCCCACCTGCATTTAAACCTCGAAACGCCACAGCAGAGGGTATCGTTATTATCCCCATGTTTGTGGGTGGTGAAATGGAGCCAGAGAGACACCAAGTCACTCAGCTGAGCTCACAGTGGCAGTGGCAGGGTTGGACTGGAGAAAAAGCCCTGGCTTGTTACCATTCTGCTAACTGCCACTCCCAAAAAGAACAAGAGGCCAGGAAGCTGGGCCCAATGGGAGAAATGGCCTTGCCTCCAGCTCCTCCAGGATGGGGTCCCGATTCTACCAGCAGTGTCCAACACCGTTAGGGTTGCCGGATAAAAATACAGGACATCAAATTGAATTTCAGATAAAAAAACAATATTTTTTAGTCTAAGTACGTATTTTTCTGCTTTTTTTTTTTTACCTTTAGCAGCCCCACCACTGCTAGGTGACCCGGCCTCCTGGGCTCCTTAGCAGATGGAGATGGATGGCCCCGCCCTTCCCCTGAGCCCCAACTCCCCACTCAATTCATAAGCTTTACCCTCAAGCACACCTCAGTCCCCAGAGGGGCTCTGCTCGTCTCTCCAGGGGACCTCAGGGAGAAAGGTAAGGAGTCAGCCCTTACCTGGAGCCCGCTCTATGAGGAGGAAATCTTTATTTCCATGTTGTAGGCAAGGAACCTGAGGCAGAGGGGTGAAGCCACTGGCCCAAGGGCACACAGCTAACCACCAGTAGGGCCAGATTCACACCCGAGGTCAGCCTACTCCAAAGCTAGTGGCCCTGGGGCAGGCCCCACGGCCCGTTCCGAGGCGGGAGAAGCAGGCACCCGGAGTACCATACCTATGGCAGCCTGTGGAGGATGGGAGGAAGCCATCAGACAGGGTGCAGCTCACCGGCACCGTCCCAGCGCTCGCCTGCAAACAGAAGGCCAGAAATCTGATCAGAGGGCGTTCAAGGCTGAAGTTCCAGCGACAGAGAAGGCTCACTGACTCGTGACCTGTGCACGCCAGCCTGCCGGCTCTCACCCTATTCCCCAGCCGCTTCGGGAGCACAGGACAGCGCCAGCAAGGGCCCAGCCCTCACCTTCGTAAATCATTAACCTGCAGAAAAACCAGCAGCGGCAGAACCCTAAGCCATCTTCCCAGAAGGCCGCTGCCTCCACGGACCTTCCTCTGCCCAATACCAAGGAACCTCGGGAGCCTGCTGGGTCCAGCTAGGCTGACAGGTGGGTCCCCACTGGCTGACAGGTGAAACTCCAGCCTCAGAAGCCAGGATCACACTCAGCCCCCGTGTCGCAGAAGCTGGATCACACCTGAACCGTCATGGACGTGGCCGGACACTTTCTCCTCCACGGGCGCCCTTGGGTCCAGCCGCCGCTCTCCCCAGCTCCCGCACCAGTGGTCCCACGGAAGGCCATTCACTCTCTCTCTGTCTCTCCCTGTGCTGCACCCACGAGGTTGGCCACTTAGCACATGGGTGTGAGGGAAATAAAGCGCTTCATGGAGACAGGTTGCTCGAGATCGGGGGGAATCCCAAATGCTGGGAGCTGGGGGCAGTTTCTCCAGGCCTCGCAGTGGAGGATCCCGCAACCAAGAAGCCAGTGCCTCCACCGGGCTTCCCGGGCCCTGGAGCCAAGCTTGCCCGATGCCTCCTGCAAAGCAGTGACGTAAAGAGTTCTCCCCACTCCCGGTTCACACCCCCGATTCTGAGCTAGAGGCAGTCCTTCTAGACTTCCTGGGAAGGAGGGGATCGACCCTGGAGGGAAAGCCCCAAGCCCTCCTTTCTAATCAGCGCCTGAAACAAACTGGCTGCGAGGCTATTTTCCTTTCCAATCCTTAGAGCCTCTATTTGTGTTAGCTGGTTTCCTAAGTAAAAATAGGATGCATGTGAAGGGCAATTAATTAATAACAGCAAACATCTATGCAGCGCCTACTGTAAAGTGCTCATTATTCTGAGCACTTTACAAATATGAAAATCTAAATTATGAGAAAATGAGGCCCAGGGTGGTTAAGTAAGTAGCCCAAGATCACACAGCTAGTAGGCAGCAGAGCCAGGGGGTGAACCCAGGCCATGGGCCCCAGTGCTCATTATGTAACCACCATGCTCTACTGTCTCTCAAAGTCCAAAACAATACAAAAGATGTGCAATGAAAAGTCAGTCTCTCAAATCCCCCAGGACTGACCACTATTACTGGTTTCTTATGAATCTTTCCAGAACTATGCCATGTAGGCACCAGCTTGTTTATCCGTATGTATGCCTTGTTTTAGACAGGAGGAAGCACACTGCACACCCTGTGGTGCAACCACGTTTTTAAAAAATTTTTTTAATTAAAGTATACTTTATTTACAATGTTTCAGGCGTAGAGCAAAGTGATTCAGTTATACATGGGCACGTGTGTGTATATATATTCTTTTTCAGATTCTTTTCCATTATAGTTTATGACAAGACATTGACTACAGTTCACTGTACTATACAGTAGGTCCTTGTTTACCTATTTTATACATAGTAGTGTGTTAATCCCAAATTGCTAATTTATCCCTCCACCACCCCCTTCCCTTTTGGTAATCATAAATTTGTTTTCTATCTGTTTTGTAAATAAGTTCATTTGTATCAGTCTTTTTAGATTCCACATATAAGTGATGTCACATATCTGTCTTCTCTGTCTGACTTACTTCACTTAGCAACCACGTTTTTTGCTTAAGGATCTCCATGATCAATTCAGAACAGTACACAGAAATCAGTCTCACTTTTTTAATGGCTGCGTGGTATTTTGGGGCGGATGGGATATACCATAATTGACATAACCCCTATCAAGGGACACTGAGGTTGTTTCCAGGCTTTGGTGGTGTAAAGCCTTCCTCCATACACTTGGCCTTGAGCGCATTGGTGCATGAACCTGTCAGTCACACTCCTAGGCGGGATCTGTTGGGTCAGAGAATTGCACTTTTCATTCTGACTGAATGCAAATTGCTCTCCACTAAGTATGTGACTGTGTCTTTTACCCACACTGAAAAAACTCTCAGCAAAGGTTGGGGAAAGCAAACTAAAATGTCTGCAAATCCCTTCGCAAGTTTAAAAGTCAAACAACAGCTGCATAGCAGTCCCCCTGCAGGTCCGTCCGCCCTGTGGGCTCATTCAGAACCACTGAAGAAGGAGCAGGGAGACATACCCATTTTGCAGGAAGAAAAAGGAAGGTACCCAGCCCAGGTTCATGTGCAAACTGCTCCTTAAATATTTTCTTTAAGGTATGTACATTGTGTTTTAGACATAATGCCATTGCACACTTAATAGACTAAGGTATAGTGTAAACATAACTCTTATATGCACTGGGAAAAATAAAGCGTGACTCTTTACTGCAGTATTCACTTTATTGCGGTGGTCTGGAACCCAACTCAAAGTATCTCCCCGGTACGCCTGTACTAGTCATGGTAACTTTGATCACTTAGTTAAAGTGATGTCTCCCTGAGGTTTCTCCACTGTAAAGTTACTATTTTCCTTTGTAATTAATAAACATCCTGTGGGGAGAAATATATATATATATTTTTTCTGATCGAGCAGAAGCCCAGGATCCTTCCCTCTAGACCAGAAAGTCCAATGTCCTCTCCTTTTTCCTCATTTTCAGGGATGATTCCTGCCCTCCCCTCCAAGCCCAAGGCTTTTCCCAGAAAGGAACAGAGACATCAAAATATAAGGAGCCCAGAGATTTATCTGCATTATTTCATTAACAGATGAGGAAACCAAGGCTCAGAGAAGTAAGGATTTGCCCAAGGTCACAGAGGAAGTGAACAAAGTGACAACACGGATTCAATCCAGGGGTATTGACCCCAAACCCTAGTCTCAACCCCTTAATCACACGGCCTCCCTGGACTTCAGGGCTGGCATCTGGGAGGCGTTTGCTGCAGACTAATCGGGGGCAGTGAGGTCCCCGGGCAAGGGCCCAGGCCAGCAAGCCCCGTGCACACCCACAGGCCTGTGGCCACCATTTTGCACACACGTGCCCCAAGGCTCAGAAGGATGTGAGTGAGGGAATAGGCATGGCTCAGAGCAGCGCAACTCCCTGCTAGAGACCTTCACGGCACAATAATTAGAAAAGAATTCAAGGCTACCTGATACCACCTGGGCCCACTACTCAGTAGCCATAATACCTTGAATGAGTTACTTAACCCCCGTCTCTGTGCCTCAGTTTATTCATCTGCAAAATGGGGATTAAAAAGTACCTACTGGGGCTTCCCTGGTGGCGCAGTGGTTGAGAATCTGCCTTCCAATGCAGGGGACACGGGTTCGAGCCCTGGTCTGGGAAGATCCCACATGCCACTGAGCAACTAAGCCCATGCACCACAACTACTGAGCCTGCACTCTAGAGCCTGCGAGCCACAACTACTGAGCCCCCGTGTCACAACTACTGAAGCCCGCACGCCTAGAGCCCGTGCTCCGTAACAAAGAGAAGCCATCCGCAATGAGAAGCCCACGCACCGCAATGAAGAGTAGCCCCCGCTCACCGCAACTAGAGAGAGCCCGCGCACAGCAACAAAGACCCAATGCAGCCAAAAATAAATAAATAATTTTTTTAAAAAAATACTTCTAAGAAGTACCTATTTCATGGGGTTCTTAAGAAAATTAAAAGTAAATACATACAACACTCTTGGAGGGGTCCCTGGGACACGGTAGTCTCTGGCTGTCATTAACGCCCAGGGCACAGACTGTGATGACCAAAGCTCTACCTTGGGAGTCGGGGATCCAGGCTGGAGTCTCATCTCCACTGGCAGGTGAGCTGAGCCTTGGTGTCCTCATCTGTAAAATGGGGTTCCTGCTACCTGGCCCATGGGACTCCCAGCAGCATCCCTGAGGTCAACCACAAAGCCCCAGCAGGCTCAGTCAGTGCCAAGATGCCCATCCTTGACGTGTCGCCACCAAAATGGGAAACAGCAAATGGGACCGTGTGTCTGGGTTCTGCATCCCAGGAGATACCCTGGAGGAGGCTCAAAGGGGAACCCCAAGGGCTTCCAAGCCGTGAGGGGCTGGGGGCAGCCAAGTCCATCTGTGGGCTGGGCTCTGCCTCCTCCTCTCGGTGTGACCCCAGGCCCCACCTTGGCCTCTCAGAGCTGCAGCCTCCATCTCTGTAAAGTGGGCATGACAGCACCCGCCCGGAGGATGCCACAGCCAGGAGCCGGGGCATATAGGTGTGAACACGAGCAGACATGTGGGGTTGCTCAGCTATTTCCTTTTTTTATTTTTTTTTTAAGTCTTCCTTGAGCTATGCATGGTCTGCAAGCTTCAAGGTCGGAGGCTGAGCTGGAAGAAATGTGTTGTGATGGCCCTGAAATGAACCTCGCTCTTAAAAGCGATCCAGAACCTTCCTGCCACAGCGGTCTCTGGCAAAAGAGGCAGTCTGGCTGGGGAAGGAGCGTTGACTGAAAACCAAGAGTGGCCCAGCAGGATTATCTACAGAATTATCTACACTCAGGGATTCCAACTGTTTCTAAAGTGCAGAGAGGAAAAGGACAGAAGGAAACTCGCTAAGGTATATGAACAGTGTTTGCCTGGGTGGCAGGGCTCCAGAAGATTTTCTTTTGACCCTCTTTCCATTTTTCTGAATTTTCCAGATCTTCTACAGTGAGTATTATAAGGAGGGAAGATGAAAAGAAGCATTCTCATTTTTAAAAAGAGGACTAAGGCAAAACATCACAGGCCAGACCAGACAGTAGCTGCAAGATGGTGTTGAAAGGGTGGGATCTGTTGCTAGATCTGAGTTCGAATCCCAGCTCTGCCACTTCCAGCTGTTACAATTCACCCCCTTCTCCCCAGCACCCGCCTCACAGAGGTCCTGTGCTCATGAAACGGGACCGTGGTGTGTGGTGGGGTAGCTCTCAGCCCGCAGTGGCCACTGTTAGCACGGTGATATTCACAGTGCTTCACGTGGGTGGTAGGGTTACGGAGACTTTCTTCTTTGGGGGGGTCATCTCTTTAAAAACGACTGCCAAGACTGGCTAGGCAGGCAGACCCCCAAACGGTGCTCTTGCCCGTGAGCCTACACAGAACGACCAGAAGCAGGCTGTACTTCTCGAACACGTTCAGACAGAGCGAGAAGCAGAGGAGCAAGCCCAGCTCCGGGTGTGCCCCCCAAGCGCGTCAAGTTCAGCGACCGGGACCACCCAAGAGCGGCCAGATTAGCATTTCCCTCCACCCTGGACAGCCCTGCTCACCACAGCAGGTGTCTTCCAGGCTCTAATTTAATCAGACCCTTATCAGTTCCTCCTTCCTCTAGAGCTCAAGGTCCATCTAGCCCAGAGGCCCGGCAGGAAACCCTCCTCTAGCCTGCACGCACCTGTCCCTCCTCACTAGTCCCTGAGATTCACCCCATCCCGGACCATCTCCCACCTCCCACTCAAGTGAATGTCCCCATCAGCTCCCCCTGAATGAGGCCTGGAGAAATACACCAGGAAGACTCCTCAAAATCAGGGAGGCTGCACAAACCAGGCCAGGAGTTTGAGGACGGGGAAGGCGGGACTCCGCAGGGAGGAGAGGAGAGGGGAGGGGAGGGGAGGGGAGGGGAGGGGAGGGTGGGCAGGGGCCCAGGTAGGCAGTCAGGCAGGCAGTCCCAGAGGGAGATGCTGGCATAACTGAGTCGGGCAGCCTTGCCAGAGGAAAGGTAGATGCCAACCTGCTCTGCACGGAGGGGAACAAGGACCAGGATCTGGCCCAGGCCCCCACCTCCAACTCTGGCCTCAGAGGCACCCTGTCTGTCTCCTGGAAGCCGGGAAAAAAGTGCGGGATGGGAGGTAAGACCAGGGGTGTGGACCAGAGCTCCTCCTGCAACCACAGCCTCCGGGAGGCCTCTCCAGGTTTCAGCCCCTGTCAGATGTGAGCTTGACCAACACACGCCCACCTCTGCCGCCACAGCAAGGGTTCCAAAGCACACAGCCTCAGACTCTTCCTCATCACCTTCGCCTTAGGAATGCAGGTCCTCAGCAAGGCCCTCCCTGACCTGCTGCACCACCCTCCCCACCGACCTCTCTGGTCTGGGCGGTTCCCATGCCCGGCCTGACTGTTCCAGTCCTCATGAAGGGCTTCAGGCCCATCGCTTTGCCGACCTGTTCTATATCTCTGGGTCTTTGCTCAGGTTGTTTGTTCCCTCCAGGGAGAATTCTCTCTCAGAACCAAAGAGCAAACTCTTACTCAACCTTCAAAACCCAGACCCTTCTCCTCTGTGAGGCCTCCCCAGACCCATCTCATGCAGTGGTTCCCAAGCCTGGTTTAAAAAATACCTGAGTCTGTGCTCGCTCCAGCAGCACATATACTAAAATTGGAAAGATACAGAGAAGATTAGCATGGCCCCTGCACAAGGATGACACGCAAATTCGTGAAGCGGTCCATCTTCTTTTGTTATACAGCAGCAACTAACACAACAATGTAAAGCAATTATACTCCAATAAAGATGTTAAAAAAAAAAAAGAAAGAAAGAAACCTGAGTCCCAGGCCCACAATTCTGTATTGGTAGCCTGTGGGTGCAGCCTGAGAAAGTCTATTTTCAAAGAGCACAGGTGATTCTGGGATACCTACAGCCCCCATTAGAACGGTCTCCCTCCCTAGACTGGCCTCTTCTTTTCGTCTCAGTGCCCAGAGCACCAACCCACACGCTAGACAACAGCTGAGCTGCACTGAACTAAGCCCAGAGCCTGAGAACTTTCATCTGCTTAGGATCCACTCACTGAGGAGACCACGAGGCTGGCGTATCCCTGAACCTGGGGTGGCTGCAGGTGTGGGGCTTCCTGACCAGTGGAGGAGGGGCACAGGCCCAGATGGGGACCTCAGCCCAGGTGTCCTCTGCCCTGCCCAGAAAGCCTGGGGTCAGGAGGAACAGCAGGGTCTGCAAACTGTATGGCGGGGGCACCTCTGCCCTGGGAGTCCCTCATCGCAAGCAGCCCCCCTGCTGCAGACTGTGGAGGGGGCTAGTTCGCAGGGGCTCTGGAGAGACAAGGTGCCTTAGCCAAGAGAACACAGGTGGAGGTACAGCAAGGAGGACACGTGTCCAGGACTCAGAGCCCTGGAAAGCACTCAGCCTGGGGTCAGAGAGACCAGCTTCAGACGCTGAATGTGCGCTTGCCCTCCAGCGGCCGGACCTCAGGAAGTTACTCACCCTCTCTGTGCTTCCTGTCGTCATCTGTCAGATGCAGATGCAAGTGGAGTGACATCTGAAAATGCCGGCAGGCCCTTACCAAATGTTAGTTCCCTTCCTGGAGTCCCTGCCGCTCCTGGAGGACAGTGTTGCCCCATTCTGCAGATTGCTCAACTGAGTCCAGGCCAGAATACCAGCCCTGACCTTTGTGACCCTCATCATCCTTGAGATCACAAAATGATCGCCTTAGAAACAATAACAGGTGCCGTCTCCCAGCACTGCCGTCTCCCAGCACTGCCGTGCACCAGAACCCCTGCTGAACATTTTACAGTGTCTGTCTAATTTGATTCCCACAACAGATGAGGGAAAGGAGGCTGAGAGACTGAGGATGTTCCCAAGGCCACACAGTGGCTGAGCAGGGTCCCTGGGTCGTGAGCTGGGAGAACCAGGGCGGGACCTTCGGGCTGGGATCCCAGCCACGGGATCCCAGCACGGACCAGGTGCCAGGTGGCTGAGGGCACGGGTGAGTGGGGAGAGCATCCTCCCAGACCCTCCACAGCCCGTGGCGGGAGCCTCCACATGCCAGAGGGACACAGGGCCAGCTCCTCTCCCTGCACACCAGGCGCCAAGCCACTCGATGGGCTTCCTGCCATGGGCAGGGGTGAGGCTGGCCAGTGGCTGAAGCCTCAGACAATGGAGGCTCTGTAACTGCCCGGGGTAAGTGTCCCCTCTCCCTAGGCGTGCCCCTGGTCAATGATCCCCAGGCAGGACAGCTTGGGGGCAGGCCCCCTCCCACACCAACCCTGGAGGAGGCCTCTGGGCAGAAGGGACCCCTGGGGGCTGTTGCTAGGAAACCAAAGCCAGCCTGGAGAAGCTGCTGCCACCAGAACAGCCCCCAGACCCTCCCCCTCCTCCTCCGCCTCCCAGCCCCCAGGCACATTAACCCCTTTGTCCCCAGAGGTCCAGTCCAGGCGGAAGGCCCCAGGCTGAAGGGCCAGGTGAAAAACTGCCAATCCGAGGGTCCCAAATTCTTGGCCACAGCCTGGGTGGCCCATTCGATGGGGCTCCACAGCACACACGCCTGGGAGCTGGAAGAGGACAGCGTGGAATCTGCACCACCCCTTCACCTTTCTGCGTCTCAGTTTCCCCATCCAAAGCCCGGGCAATTTAGTGCCGGGGCAGCTCTAGAACACTCACACCAGCAGTGGAGCATTTTCATGGCAGAACCAAACCCAAGAGGTGGCTTTGTTCCCTCCTTTTCATGGACAGGGAAGCTGGGGTTCAGACTGGGGAAGCAGCCTGCCCAAGGTCACCCAGGGAAGCATGAAGTGGGACCAGGAAATGGAGGGGTCTGACTCCAGGCGATTTCACGGAGCTGGATGTGGGGGAAGGATGGATGGTCCAGGCTGCAGAAATGGCCCAGGCAAAGGACCTCCAAATGCTGGGCTGCTCCCAGGCTCAGGACTCCAACCTCATCTTGATCTGCGCCTCCCCAGGCAACCTCACCCATTTCATGGTTTTTAAGACCATCTCTACGGTGACACCACCAGCCTGACCGTCCCTGGAACTCCAGACCTCTGCCCAGAAGTATGCCTGCTCGGCACGTCCACTCACTGGTCTACAGGGCATATTGAACTTAACACCCTGATCGCCACCCTCAGTCCTCCCAGGCGTCCCATCTCACCTGACGGCAGCTCCAGCCTGCCAGGAGCTCAGGCTAAACACCTCAGGCTCAGCCCTGGCTCCCCACTCTCCCTCACACCTACATGCCACCCATCAGCAAATCTCGTTGGCTCTACCCTCCAGACATGTCTAGAATCTGACCACTTCGCACCGCCTCCCCTGCTACCCCCCTGATCCACACCACCACCATCCCTTCCCGGGACCATTAAAATAGCCCCTTCCCGCTTTCACCCCCCTCCCCCCCACCCCACACACTTTGTTCTCAACACGGCAGCCAAGTTACTCTTCTGCTCAAAGCCTCAAATGCCTTCCTACCTCATTCGGAGTGGAAACCAGGGTCCTCACCTTGGCCAACAAGGCCCTACATGATGTGGTCCCTCCACCAACTCCCTGACTTCAAAGCCTACCTCTCTCCCCACAGCTTTTCTACCCTAGTCACAATGACCACCGTGCAGCCCCTCAAACACCCTACCACAGGGCAGCCTTCGCACTTGCTGTCTCCTCTGCCTGGAACACTCTTCCCCCAGATATACACATGGATGACTCCCTCACCTCCTTCAGGGCTCTGCTCAAAGGTCACTGTGTCAGAGAGGCCCCCTCCAACCACCCGCTTTAAAATCGCACGTACATATCCCCACCACACTCTTTCCTCTGACTCTGCCCTCCCCGCCTTCATAGCATTTAACACCTCCGGGAATCTATACATTTTAGTTGTTTACGTCAGTTTCCTCCTACCAGAATGTGGACATTATCGTTTATGCTCATCGCTCCATCCACAGCCCTGGAATGGTGCCCGGCACACACCAGACCTCAACACACACTTGCTGAATGAAGGAAGGGATGCTGGTCCACACCAGCTGCGCCACCACCATCAGAGGAGGGGAGAAGGCGGCCGAGGCCTGTGGGGCACCCGCTCTTGGGGCCGCGCCTCCTCCTGCCCGAAACCAGCCTCCGCCAGGACAGCCCCTCCCAGGAGAGCTGCACAAACAGAGTCAGTGCCAAGCTGTGCAAGAGGCGGTTCCCCCAAAACCAGTCTGGGAAGAGGCCTGGGGCCCGTGCCAGGGTGTGATCAGGAGAGGGATGGGGCGGGTACAAGGAAGGACTCGCTCCCAAAAAGACCGCATTCTTGCTCTGGTGAGTCAGAAGCATGTGGTCGGGAGAGCAGACAGGACGCCGAAGCCCCGGTGGCTGCCGCCCTCGGCCGCTCTGGCAGGCAGGTGAGGGCCCCTGGCATACACCCGGCTTTCCCGGGAAGGATCACGGGAGCCGCCGGCTGGCAGGCCACCGAGAGCAGAGGAAGCCTCCCTGTCAAAGCCCACAAGGGTCCAGTCTGGCTCCAGTCTCTTCTGGCCCAAGCTCTGCCTCCCTCTGAGAGGGGGCGGTCCACTTTGTCCCACAAAGAGCTCCAGGCAGGAAGAAATAACCTTTGCAAAACTCAGAGCTAAAACTAGCTCAGCCCACCCAAGCAAGGCAGGGCAAGCTGGCTGGACAGCACCTGAGGTCTCCCGAAACACAAGCCCCCCAAGGAGCCCCAGGGGACCCAGAGGCCTCAGCCCCAAAGGCCAGCACTTAAGCTTCAAGCCACCCCCTTCGCAATGTGCGGCCCTCCCCCAGGGAAGATGTGAGTGTCATTCCAGCAGCTCCCTGTCCGCCGCACCTGCCAGGGAGAGACGGAAACGCCTGTCCTCCCACCAGCCCCCAAAGGGGCGGAGCACACACGAGTGGAGAGGATCAGCCCCATGTTACAGAGGAGGAAACTGAGGCTCAGAGAGATAGAGAGATCTGTCCATGTTCAAGAAGCTCATCAGAGGCAGATCCATGATTAAGCTGCAGGTGGAGAGGTCTGGCCACGTCTTTTCGCTGTAGCAGGTGCCTCTCCCTCAACAGACCAATGGATCCACCCACTCCCTTGCAATGAATACCACACCTCTGACAAGATGCTGCCTGGGGCTCTGGGAAGGGGGCAGAGGAGACTGGGCTGGAGGTGTTGGGGGGAGGCAGGGTTTCAACCATGAAATAAATTTGCCCTGAATCCTGCTGTCCTGGGATGGAGTCAAATCCTGGACTATGGCCCCCACGGGAAACCGGTCCCAAACACCGGTCCTCTTTCATCATCAGCTTTGGCAAAAGCTTAACTGATGCTCTCGACACCAGCCCTGTACTTGGACTCTTGAGGGACTGGCACCCACAGCCTGGTCCTACAGAGAATCCCTACCCTCCCTTCTCACAGAAACCGCCCTGGGTCCCATGGGCTGTGAGCCCACCGCTGCCTGCATCCTGCTGCCCGGTGGAAAATGGGGGACCCGTTGCACTCAGGGTGCCCCCATCCTGAGGCAGTCTCTGGTCCTGCAGGGTATCCCTTAGGCGCCCCTTTCTGCCACCATCATGATTTTTAGGAGAGTGAGTCTGCAATCAAACCTGGTTGGGTTCTGGCTCTCCATTTCCTCACCGTGACACAAAGACATTATTTCACTGTTCTGATCCCTGGTTCCCTCTTCTGTAGGAAAACTCTAAAAATCCCCACTGCAGAGAGTTGTTATAAGGATTAAATGAAGATAATTCACATAAAATACCTCGCTGAGAGCCTGGAACACAGGAGGTGCTCGATAAATGTTTGTTGAATGAATGAATGACCACCTCCTTCTAACTGGACAGCAGCCCTGGCCTACAAGAAGGGGTGGTGTCCCAGGTGGAGCTGAACAGTCCCAGAGCCCTCCCCAGCACTGGCCTCCAGAGTCTTTCTGGGTCAGTGAAAGCCCTCCTGCAGCTTCTGACCATGCAGTGTCCCCCACTGAGGGCCAGGGGTGCCCACTGATGTGCTCTGGGACAGCCACCAGCTTGGCCTGGCCCTGAAGCCAACACTCAGCTCCCCAAAGCCTCCACACACCTCCTGCTCCTTTTAAAGTCAAGATTCCAGGCAAGAAGGTCACATCAGGAAAGGAGAAGACCCCAAAAATGACAGTGATGCTGAGTTCCCTTAGTTGGTGTGAAACACAGTGATGACCAAAGCTCAGTGCGTGGTGCCAGGGAGACATTCCAATTGCCTGAATTCACGTGGTCAAGGGGAGGCTGGGCCTCGCAGCTGGCTGCAGATGTACCCCTTATGTAAAGCACCCTGGCTGGAGAATCAGCCCTGGGGAGAGTTGCAAATGTCAGGATGCTTCAAATGAACTCAGATGTATTCTGCTAAAGTCAGGGACAGCAACCCCGCCTCCAGGCAGCAAACTTACAGTGACCCGCCACCCCCACCCCGCCTGCCCACGGCTGTCACTTGACACTGCATCAGAAGCATCCTCAAGTGACCTGTGGAAAGAGACAGGCCTGGGAAGGCAGGATCTGGTGCTCTCCTCCCTGCTTGCAGCCAACAGGTGCTCCAAAATGCTAGATGGCGGCAGGGGGACACACGCGCGCACCTGTGCGTTTCCTGCCAAGGCTGAGCCTTTGCCAGGTTCATCCGGGGTCTGTCCTGTGGCCAGGGTCTTGGTCAGAGGACGGAGACCCCATCTCCTTTCCCGTTAGGATGCAAACCAGGAAGCGAGTGAGGAAGGTCACGTCTTCCACATATGTGCCATGTATGTTAGAACTGAGGTCTCCAGGTCCCACTCCCTCCTCCTGGGAACCTAACAGCGTTCGAGGGGAGGGCGGGAAAGCCGACCTACTTTTCTGGATCCACCCAACAATATCTCTTAATCATTCCACAAAAATTGATTGAGCACTACTGGATGCCAGGTACCATGCAAGGTTCTGGGGGTTTGGATCCTGCCCCCTTGAAATCCACAACCCCCCAGGGATGCAGATGCTAAACAATGACACAAGTCCATACATCTGTACAAACCAGGACAGGCACTATGGGGTGGGGGGAACACCAGGGCTTAACTGAGATTGAGGCAGCCAGTCGAACGTTCCGACTCAACTCGCCCAGAACTGATGATGGTCGTATGTACAGCCTATGGCTGTTGGATGACCTGCCCTACATTGTAACCACACAGAGCAAGGGGACACAAGGCCTGGCGATGGCCCTGTTCTTTTGCCAGAGGCTCTGCCTCCGGTTGGCCTGGGCCAAGGCACACAACTGCTCAGGCCTCCAAGGGCTCTCCCACCTCCCAACGGATGTTCGCATTTTATGCCAAACCCAAGGAATACAGGATGTTGTGGGCGCTTTTTTCCTCTTTTGTTTTTTTTGGAGGGTGGCAGTACTGGATTTCAAATTTTCCATTCCATCTTGATGTATGCAATTACAGTTTCACTGATCCATCTAAGGCAGTGGTTCTCAACGGGAGCGGCTTTGCCACCCAGGGACATTTGGCGATGTCTGGAGACGTTTGGGTTGTCACAACGGGGAGGCAGGGGGAAGCTAGTGGCATGTAAGGGGTAGAAGCCAGGGATGCTCTGCACGTCCTACAGTGCAGAGCCCGGCCTCCACAGCAGAGAACTATCCAGCTCAAGTGTCGACGGTGCTGAGGTCGAAAACTCCTGGTCTCGGGGCATCTGGTCAAGTCCTCTGGGGATCTGGGGCAGACACTGGCCTGTTAATGCGGGGTAGTGTTACTGTTATTAGTCACAGGGACACAGAGACCAAAGTCATTGCCACCGGTTTCCATGGCAGAAAATACCAGGTTCCAAGTCTCTAAAGAAACTGAATTATGCTCTGGTTACTTGTTTTTGTGGATCTCGGGGCAGAGACTGGGGGCAGTGACCACGACCTACTTTTCCGTGTGCCTCCACCACCTGGCGTGGCATCTGGAATACAGGAAGTGGGGAGGGACGGCAGGAGGGAGGGAGAGAGGGCAGGCTGCAGCCTCTTCAAAGCAGGACCACGCCTCACGCCTCTCCCTCCTCAGCACCCAGCACCTGTTCCTGGCACCTAGCCGCCATCTCTGAGTTCACAAATAAACAACCAGACCTGAGCTCTCCTGGGCCAGGGCCGATGCCCCACTCCCCTCTGACCGCCTCCGCCCCCCACCGCCCCGAGCTCGGAGCTCACGGTCCAGCAGGGGAAGGTGAACTGAATGGGCTCCAACAGTCAAGAGCAGGCGGTGCTTCTGCGGGGGAGACCTGGAGGTCTAGGGGAACTCCCGGGAGTGGCCCTGAACCTGGGGTGGGAGGATGTCAGTTACTGCTCCTTGAAACAGTAAACAAAAGCATGAATGGTTCATCTCTGCAAGGCCTGGGACATGGGAACAGGAGAGAGGGAGGGAGGATGGTAGAAAGGGGGTTTCCAGTGGGAGTCAGGGGCCCCTGCGCTGCCCTGGCTCGTCTCTCCCCAGCAACCCGGCCCAGGTACTCATCCACAAAAGTGGCACTGAGTGGGTGGAATCCAGGGCCCAGACACGGGGCACAGAAAAAAGGCAGACACTCGCTCCTCCAGTTGCCACCAAGGAGTGAATGCCAAAATCAGCATCACAGCACGTCACAGGTATTAACCGCTAACTAAGGGCCCGGAGCAATTCCAAGTCCTTTACTCCTATAGTTACTTTAATCTTTACAACAACCTTTTCAGAGAGGAACTATTATCACCCCCATTTTACAGATTAGGAAACAGAGGCACAGAGAGGGTAAGAAAATTGCTCAAGGTCACACGGTCAATACAAGGGGGAACTGGGATTGGATCCCAGGCCATCTAGCTGCAGGGCTGTGCCTTGAACCCCTACGGTATTCACACCTCCGCACCTCAGCCACTAGCCGGCCACCAGTCCGCTGGGCTGCTCTGCTGCCTGGGAAAACGCTCAGGTGAGCAGACGGGGCCATGGGGAGCTGGTGGGACAGGGACCCTAAGCAGGAGCACATCAGGAGAACGTGTGGGACCAGCAGACAAAGTGCTCCGGGCCGGTGGCCCTGGGCAAGTGTTCTAGCTACGATGTCCCCAGCAGAGCCTCAATAAGTGGCCCCCTCCTGGAGCAGCTGAATGCAAACATGTCAAGTCTCGCTGGGCATCCTTGTCCAGAACCACCTGGGGGCTGAGGGTAGGCACAGGTTCCCGTGAACGCCAGGGATTCACCCTCACCAATCCAGCCACTCCCCTGGAGTAGGCACCTGGGCAGGGTCGGCCTGAGATTCAGGTCCCACTGTGCCGGCAGTGTGCCAGCCACCGCCTGAGCCAGCGCCCTCCCCTCTGCTGTGGCTGAGGGGGACCACAACGTCAGGCCAAGCCTGGCGGGATCCCCTTAGGGCGGGCAGCATCGATCCCCTCCTAACCCCTCTCTTTGAAAGGGCGCCTGCTGATCAGAGCAGGCTGGGTGATCCACTGTGATTCGCAGCACTGGCCTTGCCATTAGTTCGGAGTCAAGCATGTTGTATTTTCCCACAATCAGCCACTCTCAGAAGAGAGGGATCTCTGAGAGGCTGAAATCCAACCTGTCAGCCAGGGCAAGAATTCCTTCTTGAGGATCCCAACAGATGGGTGGGTCAGAGCACAAGCTTTGCAATCAGGCAGCCCTGACTCCAAATCCTGACCCCACAACCCAGCAAACATGTGACTTGACCTCCATAAGCCTCAGTTTACTCATCTGCACACTGGGTGTAATAACACCCCTGAGACCCAATTAAGTAATATACTCATTCATGCATTCAGTCAATCAATTCACGTTTATTAAGCACCCCTGCGAGCTAAGTACTGTTCTAGGTGCCTGGGATACATCAGTGAACAAAAAAAGAAAAAGCCTCCCTGCCCCGATGGAGCTCACTGAGCCCAGCCCTATGCCAGCCACAGAGTGGCCATTCCATAAACGCCTCACCTCTACCCAAGCCTGAGTCACTGTCCCACATCGTATTCTGTTTGAATTCCTCCTTTGGCAGAAGACTCATCGTCCCACATTAGAAAAGTCTAAACCTGCCCTCATTTCATTCTGTGAA